ATTGATTTCTTCTCTAATTTTTATTTTTTTTTCTTACGTTGAATTTTTTTGAATTTGCTCTTCTTTTTCTTATTTCCTAAGGTGGAAGCTTAAATTATTGATTTTAGATCTTCTTTTCTAATAGATACATTCAGTGCAGTACATTTCCTTCTAAGCACTGTTTTTATTGCATCCAACAAATTTTAATAAGTTGTATTTTCATCTTCATTTAGTTCAAAATATTTTAAATTTTTTCTTGAGATGTCTTCTTTGAGCCATGTGTTATTTAAAGTGTGTTGCTTAATCTCCAAGTATTTGGGGATTTTCCAGTTATTTTTTTGCTACTAATTTCTAGTTTAATTCCCTGTCATCTGGCAGCATACTTTGTATGATTTCTATTCTTTTAAATGTGTTATAGTGGGTTTTGTGGCCCAGAATGTGATGTGTCTTGGCCTAGGCTGTTTTTCAAGGAGAAAGTTACTCAAGAGTCTAGGGCCTTGACATTTGACCTTAATTCTAAAACTAAATGCATCTGTCTCTTGGCTGTGGCACATAATTTGCATCTGTCTCTGGGCTGTGGCACATAATTTGCATCTGTCTCTGGGCTGTGGCACATAATTTGCACCAGTCTCTATAAAAGGACCTTTATCTATGACTTGTTGATTATACAGAGCTGTACCCATAGAGGAAAAGCATACCCATGACAGAAATGGGAAACTAAGTTTGCTAAGGGAATATTTGTATAATGCTATGCCTTTGATTAGTGTCTTTCCAAAATCAGTATCACTAAGAGTTTGCATGCTGTTAGCAGTGGGAATTCTAGTAGTGGTACTTCCTAAGAGCACCTATCTTGGAGTTAAAATGTAGGCTATATTTATTTCGCTTGGAGTTTTCTAACCAGGGATGATTTTGGTCCCCAGGGACCATTTGGCAAATGTTTGGAAACAATTTTGGTTGTCATAACTGGGTGAGGGGGTAGTGTGCCACTGGCATCTAGTGGGCAGAGGCCAGGGATTTTGCTAAACATCCTCCAAAAGCCCAAGACCAACCCACGCCTTAAACAAAGAATTTTCTGGCCCCAAATATCAGTAGCGGAGGTTGAAAAACCCTGAGTCTAGCTTGTTCCATCCGATCATTACTGAGAAAACCTTGAGGCCTCAGAAATCCCTCAGCCGTCTCTCAGGATTTGGCTTCTGAGGCTAAGTGCCTCCTATGTAAATACCTTGTAGCTTAGTCCATTGATTCATTCTGGCACATTTCCTATACCTTCAGCTTAGTGGCCAGAGGCCTACTAAATGGTTGGGGCTTTTTAATAGGGTGATACTTTTTATTCCTGATGTTTCCGAGAGACAGGCTCAGCTGGCTTGCGGCTCTTGCAGAAGAGAACCTGGTGACAATACGCTAATCTGTTGCTGGCATCTTTTGCTTCCTAATCTATGTTTACACGGCACTGAAAATCGACTCCCTGGTGCCAGGCTCCATTTCTCCTCAGCGCTCTGGCACCGTTGGCAGAGAACACCTCCCCAATCCCTTCCACACAGTGCTACCCATCCGTGTTTATTACATTGCACAGCTGTTCTCCAGAAAACATTTCTGGAGGCATGGATGGTACAGGAGCTTCTGGAGCTGGGGGTTTGGAATCTTAATCGTTGTGTTCCCAGTTGCAGATCCACAGCACTCTTAAAGCATCTGGTATTTTCCTTAACTGTTTTCCTGATTGTAGCTCCCATCTTCTCCCCCAGATTTTAAGCTCCGAGAGTACGGGGTTTGTTTCTTCAGTTTATTTCCTACTCTTTTTTAGCAGCTAGCATTTCATTCATCAACTGAGAAATCAACTGACCTTTTATTATTTTGTGTTTTATGCTTTTCTGTTAAAAGTTGGAGGACATGATAAGGAACTACAATGGTGTGAGAAAGACTGGTGGTCAGAGGGAGATGTCAACTATCTAGATAAACAAGCCAGGGGAACACTTCATAAGCTCAGTGATGTTGAGCCTGGATCAGAGTGAAACTGAGTAATTCTTTCCAGCGATGTGGTAGACCTTAGAACTAAAAAATGATTTTCATTATCAAAGGGGCCTAAAAAAATAAAATGTTCCTATTAAGAAAGTCCTATATGTAGCTTACCCTCCTCATGACCCAGGAATTGCTCAGCAAAAGTTCCCAAGTCAGGTGTAATTATTATAGAATATTCTATAAAGGTTAAAATTATTAAGAACATATATTTATTTACTTCATTGAGTGATATGCCACAGGACCCTCAGTAGGAGTTTGAGGTCAGTGGGCTCGTTGACAGCACCCCCAAATGCTATAATTCTCAGGCCTTCAGGGAGATCATGACCATTTGGGTCTATGTCTTTGAATCTGTAAGATTTTAAAGAATAAATTGTGGTGGGGGTATTGGTTTATCTAGAACCATATTCCTCAACCTTTATGTAATTATTACCCTCCTAAGGAGATTTCGTAGACATTTTTTCCCTAATCATCCCCCCTCCCATGAAATTTTAATATCATAGATAGGCTGTGTATCTGTCATATACTACAGTGTATTGGAGGCGAGCTAGTGATTGCACTAAGATTTCCCCATGAGCCAGTTTTCGCCCCCATGGGGGCAATATTACCCATATTGAGAATATATAATCTTAGCAGTATTATCATCTTGGAAATGAACTGTTTCACCTTTCTTTACAAATTGAAACTGGGACAAGGACACCATCAATAAACTAATGTTGAAGAGAGTCTTCTCATGTAATAACTTGCTGCAACTGGAGAAGAGTACTTTTCTGGCTTGTATGGAGGACATTTTCTCTCTGAACAACCTCTCTTGACCATTTGAGGAAAGAATAGGGAAAGACCAGGAATGGCAGAGCAATAAATGCAGCTCACCAAAAGCTGGGGGGTGGGGGGTGGGTGGGAAACCGATGACAGGACCCTTTTGTAATGATATGCAGAGGAGGAAGATTGTGATACTGAAGAATCTAGGTATAAAATTGTCCATTGTTCCAAGGCTAGTAAGTTCTAACAAGTTCAGTTTCTTGAAGTAGGTGATTTGCAGCAGAGAATACCATTTAGGTTGTCTAGCATACAACAGTGTTCTATTCTCCCAAGAGGGTTTGGCTCTGTCTGATCAAAAGGGTGGTTGTGTATGAAATGCACCTCGGAAGGAGGAGGAGGAAATGACATGTTCATGTAAATGAAATACAACTGCAAATTAAAGTGTCACCCTGTTAAAAAAAAAATCCATTTTTTATTTAATTGGTTACCAAGGAAAAAAATGTCATGCAGAAGTGTATATCTCAGGGAAAGTTAAACCGTGAGATGTTTCAAGTGAATCCAGATTCAAGGAAGTTCTCATGGGGCGGGAAGGGGAGGGGTTTGTAAAATATTGCCTTAATAAAAATATTCTGATACTGAAAAGCCAGACTCATAAATTTCTGCTGTGTTACATGCCAGGGGTCCAGAAGAAATTAACAAACATGACTTCATTTGTTCTTTACTGTCTCTATCCAGTCAGCTATATACTGGCTGCCTCTTCCCTGGAGGAAACCTCCTTTTGAGATGTTTTATTTGGAAGAAGGTTGTATACAAAGGAGGAGATGCTTTCTCCCAAAGAGTGTTGCTTACTACAAAGACATCCAGGAATGAAATGCTTTTCTTTGTGGCTTTTCTGTGTTAATGTTGTCCTCCCATTTTTCACTCCCCCCGACTGCCACACGCATTTTTATGAAAACTCATCTGTCTCTTTAGACTGAGAGTCTACCAGACAGGACATATACGGTACCTGCCACATTGTTGGCACTAAGGAAATGTTAAATAATCGTGGGAGGGGCCGGTGAATGGGATTATGTTTCTGGTAGAATTGTTCTTGAGGTATGTTTGGTTTCTCTTTGAGATGGGGACTTGGCAGATGGTTCTTCCTCTTCCCCCTCTCCTGCTAATCCCAGTACATGTTGTTTTATGTTTGCAGAGGAAACGTGGATAAAGACTATACTGTGCTCTCTTTGTCTTCTCCCCCACCAGGGGCAGTGATTGGTGATGGACAGTCTGCTGTGGCCAGTAACATTGCCAATACTACCTACCGGCTCCAGTGGTGGGACTTCACTAAGTTTGACCTCCCTGAAATCAGTAATGGTAAGTCAAAGTGGAGCTGGTACTGGTGGAGGGGGTATTTCTTACTGGTGAGCCTGAACTCAGAAACCCATGGAGTACTGGAGTTTTCATCATCTTGTTGAGCAGCTGATTTCCCGGTACCATTTCTGCAGCTCACCATCAGTAATTCAGCAGACATGTTTTAAGCACCCACCCTGAGCAGTGACCCATGGTAACTGCGGTGCTAGGAGCAATGCCAAGATGGACACAAAGATGAAGGTGTCTCTCTTCTGGGGAGTTCACCAACTAGTAGCTAATTGTCCTAAGCCTCAATGTTTAAGTGGAACTGAGAAGCAGGGAAAGAGAAGGGAGTATAGGAACTGAGAGCTAGCCCTTGTGCCCCTTGAGGAAAGACTGTGGTGATGTTAAACTCATTTATTAATCCAGAGCTGGATGGAACAAAGTGAATGACATGGTCAGTATTTAATTTACAAACATATGTTTGAAGTCTGCAATCCCATATCCCAGTTGTTCATCACAGCATTTTATTTTATTTTATTTTTCAAATATTTTGTTTATTTAAGAGAGAGAGAGAGACAGCATGAGCGAGAGGGGCAGAGGGAGAGGGAGAGAGAGAGAATCTCAAATAGACTCCACGCTGAGTGTGGAGACCAGTGCGAGGCTCGATGCCAGGACCCTGAGATCATGACCTGAGCCAAAACTAAGATTTGGATGCTTAACCAACTGTACCACCCAGGTGTCTCCCATCACAGCATTTTAGACAACTTATTTCAATTTCTATCTAATGAAGGACTTGCACATTCCTAGAAGTGGCAGTTTAGCCTCTGCTTAAATACTTAAAGTGATAGGTCACACTATCTGGTGAGATGGCCTGATCTTTCACTGATAAGCTTCTGTTATTGTTCCCTTGCTGTTATTTCCTCCCGTTGGTCCTGGTTCTACCTCTGAATCTCCATAGAATATGTCTAATGATACCTCTTCTGATGGTTCTCAGATGTTTGAAGATAAATTGTCATTTCCCTTTGAATATTTCTTCTCAGGCCAGACTTCCTTCCTGAGATTCCTTTTACTAATCTGCTTTCCAAATCCTTGACAGTTCTGTTCACCTTCCCGTTTGACTTTGGGGGACCAGAACAGAATAGAAAACTCCAGATGGGAGCTGTCCAGTACATAGCACAGTGGTGGTTTGGACAGTGTTAATTCAGCCTGAGATTTCAGCAGCTTTTCCTGAAGCCACTATTCAGTTTCGGTCACTTCAAATTCCTAGATGATTATTAAGAAATCGAGGCTCTACCATTCTGTTTATTTGTGCAGTTTGAATCTTTTAAAAACCAAAACAGGTTTGGATTTGCTCCTGTTAAATTTTATCTTAATAGTATCAGTTGCACTTCCTAGCTCCTCCCTCTCAATGTCTTTTTGAACTTTGGATTCAGTCCTTTTCTCTCAGTCTTACATCACCTACTAATTTGATAAATACACTTTCTCTCTCTTCCTTTGGTTTACTAGGAAAAATGGTTGATCAGTTAGGATATTGTACTGGGCCTTGTGTGATGTTGCTGTGGACTTCCTCTTGTGTCAACTTTGGTTCCTGAATTAGCACCCTGGCCTGGTGTTCACAACTGAAGCCCACATTTTTTTTTTTCCCTCTTAATCTTATCTGCAAGGTATTGTAAGAATTTGTCAGATGCCTTAAAATAATCAAGATATTCTCTGTCTGTGGTGTTTCCCGATATGCCAGTCTTGGTATCCTTATCAGACCATGAAAATGAGGTTAACTTTTCATGTCCTGATCTTAGTGAAACCACAGTAGCAATCATTTCTTTCTTTCTAAGTGCTTATAAGCCACATGTTCAATAATCTTTTCTTTAACTCTTCTGGGAATCAACTGCAATCTACTTTTTCCTTTATTGAATACCAGGTTTGCTTGCTCATCTCCAGATTTCTGGCCCAAATCTTCTTTGCCACAATTTATTTCCAGTTATTTTGTTTATATTGTTTACTTTGCTTTTTTTTTTAAATTATAATCTGAAATACATTCACCATTCAAAAAATTTTGGACTATAAAATAATAGACAGTAAAAAGTTTCCCAACTCTGCTCTCAGCTATAGGCCACTCCTCCCCAGAGGCAACCACAATTAGCAGTTTCTTGTGTATCCTTTCAAGGATATTGTATGTGTGTGTGTGTGTGTGTGTGTATATATATATATAGGCAATGCAAATGTATGTTTTTCCATCTTCTGTTTAACCCGGATGGTAACATGTTATACACTCTTCTTTCTACACTTTGCTTTCTGTACTTTACCGTGTATCTTGGTGATCTTTACGTACCAGTATATATAGAGTTTACTCTTTCTTTTTTAAAGACTGCCTAGTTTTCCATTGTCCAAGTGGAATCTCTGGGTTCCATCTTTTTTTTTTTTTTTTAATTTTATTTATTTATTTGACAGAGACACAGCGAGAGAGGGAACACAAGCAGGGGGAGCGGGAGAGGGAGAAGCAGGCCTCCCGCCAAGCAGGGAGCCCGATATGGGACTCGATCCCAGGACCCTGGGATCATGACCTGAGCCGAAGGCAGACGCTTAATGACTGAGCCACCCAGGCGCCCCTGGGTTTCATCTTTTAATCAGTCATTTTTCAACTAGTCTTCTCTGAGGAACTTTTAAATTGTTTTCGGTCTTTCCTATACAAAACATGTTGCAGTTTGTCATTTTGCACCCGTGCAAGATTATCTACAGGATAAATCCCTGTAGGATAAATCTCTAGAAATGGAAGTGTAGTTAGGAAGAGTACATACATCTGTGATGTGGGTAAATGCTGCTAAGTCACCCTCTGTAGGGGTTATGCCAACTTATACTCTTATCTGCAGTTTATGAGAATGCCTGTTCCCCCTAAACTCTTGCTTGTAGACTGTGTTACCATATTTTTGGATATTTGCAAATCTGATAGGTAAAAAATAGTATGCAGGTATTTTAAATTTGTATTTATCATATTACAAACCAGGTTGTGTGCCTCTTTACACACTTAGCTCGTGTATATTGCCTTTTCTTGACTGGTCCCTGTGTTTTACCTATTTTTTATTGTGTTGCTGATCTTTTCCTTACCAGTTCTACAGGAGCTCTTTCTAAATCAGAAAATTAACGTACAAAAGGAGTTTCCTAGTTGTCATTTTTCTTTTGACTTTGCTGAAGGTTATTTTTGTCATAGAACTTATTTTAAGTAGTCAAAATTATCCAACTTTCCATTTATGGTTCCCAGGTTTTGTGTCATCATTAGGAGATCAGTTAGTACTTTTCTATTTTAGTTTTTTTTACCTTTAAGTCTTTGATTCAGAGAAGTTTAACCTAGTCCCAAATAAGCAGAATATGAACCAACTTTTACCCCATATGGCTACTCATTTGTCCCAACCAGTTTATAGACTAATTCATTTGTGTCCATTGATTTGGGATGTCACTTTGATCCTATTTTTACTTTCCTGTATATATTCAGATGTATTTCTAGACTATCCATTCTGTCCTAGTGATCCGTTTGATTATTCATGTGAGAGTACTACAGGGATTCAAGTTTTCAGGCATTGTGTTATAGAATCTGGTAGGACCCGTCTCTTCTTGTTATTTTTTTGAATCCAAATTTTCCTGTCTGCTCAAGCAGTTTTGTTTCCCTGTATGGACTTTAAAACTATTTTGCTTCTTCCCTTCACCCCCCTGAAAAAATCCTATTAATATAATTACTGCAGTCACATTAAATTTGTAAATTAACTGAAGGAGATTCAATATCTTTATGGTTAGATTTAAGAATATGGCATGATTTTCCATTTCCACAAGTTTTTGTTGTGTTTTAGGAATGTTTTAAAGTTTTCTTCATATAGATCCTTTACAGTTCTTTGATTGATTGATTGATTGATTTGAGAGAGAGAGAAAGCGCGCATGTTCATGCAGGCGAGCAGGAGGAGGGGCAGAAGGAGAGGGAGAGAATCCCAAGCAGAATCCCTGCTGAGCATGGAGCCTGATGCAGTGCTTGATCCCACCACCCCGAGATATGACCTGAGCTGAAATCAAGATTTGGGTGCTTAACCTACTTAGCCACCCAGGCGCCCCTAGATCCTATACAGTTCTTAAGTTTACTGTCAAAAGCTTATTTTTAAAATCCTACTACTATCTTACTGAATTGTTTACTAATTGTAGTTTTTACTCAGGTAAATCTCCTGGGTGTTCTAGGTTTGTTATCTGTAAGTAATGATAATTTAACTTCTCCATTCTAAGTTTTACATTTGTGATTTCTTTCTCTTGTCTGTTGGCTTTGGCTACCATCAAAACAATAATAATAATAATAATAAATAATAAAATAATAATAGCAGTCATCCTCATATTGCTCCTGATTTTAGTGGGAAAACTTCTTTTTCCCAGTACTTTTTTTTTTTTTTAAGTTTTACTTATTTAAGTAATCTCTACACCCAACGTGGGGCTTGAACTCATGACCCCGAGATCAAGAGTCACATGCTCCTCTGACTGAGCTAGTCAGGCACTCCTAGCTTTTTCCCAGTAAGCATATTGCCGGCTTTTAGGTTGAACTAGAACTAGTTTATCATTTTAAGGAAGTCATCTATTCTATTAAGAGTTTTTATCAAGAATGGATATTGAATTTAGTCATGACTTTTCAGTATCTATGAAGATGATCGTATGTTTTTTTTCCTCTCCTTTGATCTAATAGTATAATCATTATGTTAATAGATTCTGTAATATTGAACCCATCCTTACATTTCTTGAATAAACCCCACCTGGTTCTTCAGTGTAAAATTCCTTCCCTGTAGCTTGCTAATAAACTTTTTTCACTGATATTTGTAAGGGAGATGGCTCTGTCCAGGCTTTTCTTTTTTATGAAATCTATGGATTTGGGTATCAATGTTACTATGCTTGTGTTATAAATATAATTTGGAAGTTATTTTTTTTCTTTGGAACAGTTTAAATAGAATTGGAATTACTTAGACTTTTTGTGCTTTAAAGGTCTGGGCCTGATGCATGCA